TGTAGCAGAACCAGGCTTCGATGTTGTCGAGCCAGAAAGGCATCAGTTGAAACGAAGGTGGGGACAAAGTCTTAAGCTTGAGTACTTTAGGTGTCTGTTCAGTCATGATGAAGTATGATAACGAACGAGGGGAAAATATATATATATCCAAGAAAAAACACGAAAAAAATCACAATGTTTAAAAAATATAAAAAATAAGGCAATGATATATAAAAATCCCGAAAAGGAACAGTCTCACTGTTGCAATTAGGTGTACCAGATCACGTCGGTCTCACCAATGATGATGTCACAGGTATTCAGTGTTTGACAACGCTTCTACCAGTAACACCTTCTAATATATTTCGTTCCCGTCCAGAGAAATCAAAAGACAGAGTCGAGGAGATCGGAAGAGTATATTTGGCGATGACCAATATATCGGAATTCTCTGATCTAATCTGGCTAGCGATTGCGGTTGATGTTGAGCACGGCGTTACCACACGTGATCTGGTGCGGATGCCTGACCGAGCGCCTTCAGCTAGATGAATCCACTAGCTATAAGTTATTATTCTGAAAGAGAAAATTAACTTAAATTGGACTGAACAAAAACAGAAATCGGAGTTCTGGACAGTAGAAGTGACCCACCTACACGGCGTGAGAAATTTGAAAAAGTGGTTTCAAGCCGACGACTCATTGTACCTTATCTGTTTGACGTACTAAAACAAAACCTTAAATTCGAGGGACTATTCGTCACCGAAAGTCATCGTATCAGAATTGATATTTGTTAATTGTAATTTAATATTTTAACGTTTAATAATCCGATGGTGATGGAATTTTATTTTGGAATAATGCGCAACGCGTATTTTGTGGATTTCCCCGAAATTTCCCCAAACTCTGGGGGAAGGCCATTTCACTTTGAGGAATTCCCCATAATTTCCCCAAAGTTGAGAGCTTGGATTCTATGGTAGGATCAAATCCATTATTAGTTATGAGCAAATATATTAACGTTAGAAAGCGTGAAAACTAGCAAAATTAATGTATGACGTTGAGTCCTAAAATGAGGTGTCAAGTTGATAGAACCCTATCAGTAGCGACTTATTCATCGCTTATAAATGTTAAATTAAAGGGAAAAAGTAGTAGAAAAATAAAATAACACCACGTGAAGAAAAGATACAACCATAAAAAGCGCACGCAAGATAATTCTGGAGTAATGTCTAAGTCATGAATCAACCAAGTTTCTGTCACCGCTACAATGAGTGGCCTTAATCTGTCCACTAATGCTTCTAGTTCATAAAACTTATTTCTTAGACTACGAGCGTTGTCATACAAAACTCCTAGGTAGAACGACCTATCCACACAGGCCTTGGCAGAGTTCGCTCCCAAGACCTGACTATCTGAAAACCCACTAACCGGAGATTCTCCTCACAGTTTGTCGACGGGTTTCTAGTTCAGCTAATGCTTTCTTCCTTTTTATTCTATCTCTGAGAGACATATCAGGTCTAACTCGGATGTCAGAATTGTCGTGGCTACGAGAGCTAATTAACAGGAGATCCCGTTGCTACTCCGATCCTGGGATTACTTTAAGGAGTCTGCATGGTCTGGGTTCAACATTGTCCTTGGTCCTCTTGCCTATTCTAACCAGTTTTTGAACTGAACTCCTTTAGAGTTATTTGGTAAGATACTACGAATATATTCGCTCAGCTTCTCTAAATCATACGCGTGTCGAATCTTAGGATCAGGATCGTTTGACTCCAGCAATTCGCTCACAATGATATTCGATGATGGTAGATTCTTCTTCTCAGTCACACCATGATGGGTTTCCCTCTTACTATCAGATTTTGGTAGTGCATTTTGTGAATCACAACGGGAGTCCATCAATGACTTGCTAACCACCTGCGTACTGTTTACAGCTTTTTTCTTTTTGTTTCGTTTTATCCGTACTGTAGTCCATTTTTCATCCCTCAGGACACTAGGACTATTTGGAACGGTGGCGGTTTTATTCAGATCTACAGTTTCCACTAGACGTGCATGGTTACCAATGTCAGTTTCAGGTGGTACTATCACCCTTGTTAATGTTAACTTCCGCAAGATTTCAAACCTTAACTAAAGTACTTTGATGTAAACAAAGAATGCTTTTGATACAACAATTACACAAAAGCAAGGATAATCACAACAGGTACAAAATCACTTCCCTTTTTGAGACACACGCGCGAATATATCGATGATAGATAGGGTTTAGTTCCTGTCTATTCGACTCCAATATATGACGTCCAGTCAACTTAGTATTTTGACAGGCCAAATCTCCCAGTAGTGCTAAGAATTTACCAAAAAGTGTTTAGAAGTCAGAACACCAGCTTTCAGTGAAGTGTATTGCTAACACTTAGTGAAATCCACTAACATGAAAGAAGAAATCAGACTATGTGAGCGAGCGTGTAAGTAAATTGTTGAAATATCTATATGTATTTTATGATTGTTAACCGATTGCGGGTATGTTATTGATTTTCTGTGTTTACAGTCAATGGGACGGTAGAAAAAATTGAAGTACATACATACTTTCGATCCGACTTACATATACGTTTACATCGCAAGTGGACAGTAAAAAATTCAATGGGATTACTTTAAATGTATGTAGTCTGATTACCTCACTTATGTTTCTAGACCGCTTAAATACTTGTAGTGGCATCAGGCTCAAAACACAATCCTCAAAGCTGAACATTAAACAATTAGTAAAACAGGTATTCCAAATTTATTGCGGAGAGAAGCCTAACGATGGAGAATGCGGGGAGAATGAATTCAACTAATTCGGATGGCATGGCCTAGCTTCTCGGACGTGGTCATTCTGTAGAAGTTATCTTTACTCACATTTAAAATATTCTATCGTTAGCCTGAATGTGTTATCTACAAACTCCAGACGTCGCAATTTTAATTGTTACGATACGACGAATCAGAGTAGACGATGATGTGACATCCCCACAAGATCTTATGGATCAGACAGTCACTAATACTAATAGAAAATTAGATCGTGAGTCTACATACTCACAGAGTAGTTTCAGTATGAAATGGACGATAGGCTAAATGATCTGCGTTAATCTTGGCAACGTGCTCTTTCAGTTGTTCTAACTTTCTTTTTAGAGAGTTGACAGATGAGGCTGTAATCACGTGTTGAGGTATGAATTCCATTCGCTGATGATTTGATGTGCAAGTCGATAGTCAGCTGACAAGTAATTTGTTCTATGCTTATGAACTTTTTTGGAGCGTCCACATACATTCTCTGTTTTGAGAGACAAGAAAAGTGAGGGCATATTAGATGCCAAATTACCACTCAGTTAGTTGAAAACTTTAGTCAAGTCACCTCCAGTTCTTCGATATGGCAAAGGGAATAGGTTTAGTCTAGCTAGTCAAGCATCATACAGTAGCTTCACTATTCCGGGAAGCAGCTTAGTTGCTGTTCTATGAACCTTTACCAAAAACTCACTGTCTACTTTAAGCAGGGACTAGCCGCTTGTATGCAGTACTCAAGGTTAGGACGAACGAATACCACATACAAAGTCAAAAAGTTGTTAGCGTTGACATGACTAAAGGCCGTACGTATTGATTATAAAGTTCTAAAACCCTTGGTGGCTGTTTCATAGCAGTGTGTAGTAGTTTTTAAGTCTTCGACGCCGATGACTCCTAAGGCGTTCTGTATCTGGAAAACAGGTAGCTCACTGTTATTCACCGTGTATGTATATGTACTTTGATGACCAACATGCATCACAATGCACTTGAAATCATTGATCGGCAACTGCCAAATTTTAGGCCATTCAGATAATTTCTCCATGTCATTTTGAGTTATAAGCTATCACATTTACTTCTTATCTCTCTCTTTTTATATCCTGACATCGTCAATATATAGCAGGGCCGATGATGATATTAGACGACAAAGGTCGTTTACATACAAAAGGAATAACATTGGCCTGAAAACTGTACCCTGCGACACAGTTTTCCGGCTAGACATATTTGAGTTCCTCCGCACGCTTTGTTGGCGCCCAACCAGGAAGTCTTTTATCCACATTATTACCTAACTGATATAACAGCCAGTGAAACTTTGAAAATCAAGTTCCCTACTGTCTACAGACGGAGTCGGCCAAGTTTCTGTGACTGCAGTTACAACCTGCTTGGTAGAGTCTATCTCTACAATTCAGAATTATGTGGCAGGATTGCATCACTAATGATGTATTTGTGATATTAACGCGATGACTAATGTGGATCAACACATCCCTATCTAAAATTGATTTCTAGCACCAGTCAACCACTTCAATAGTTAACAATTAACATTATGCTGAAACTCATAAACATCACCGGATATTATTCTCTAAACAGCTGCATGATGTGAATGTAAGTGTTGACGATCTAGATCTCTTCAGAAACTCATCAAGATAGAGTAGGAATCTGAAATGGTATAGGACGATGTCATGGATTTTCAGGGTTTGACAACTCATTCGTCCGTAACGCCTGTACAGTTGAAGGAGTTCAAAAACATCTTTCGAAGATAGTCGGTATGTCTGGAAATATGTGAACTAAGCTGGCTAGTTGTTGCGTAGCACTGCATACCCGATGGTGACCTAGTGAGGATGAGTTGCCGAGCACCTTCAGCTAGGGTGCACCCAGTAAAATTAGTGAGATCAAAATAAATAACATAGTCTTATACAACTACTTTTCTGGGGGATTTATGAATCTCTATAATATCACAACTTGAGACTATTTTTCACAAGCTTTCATCCAAATAGTGTCCAACTTATTCTCATTACGTTTTCGACACCACGACAAAAATGTGTGTCTCAGACTACCCTTTACCATTTAAAGCTCTTGAAACGGGGAATAAAAGATATCTCATTTGGCACATTCAATTAGGTGAGATTGAGTGTTGAAGGTTGTTACATACAGTCGTTAGTTGCTCGGAAAAGATCCAGCAATTTTTCAAACCGTTGGTTGGTGTCGTTATTTTGTGCCCAATTCTGAACTAACCCACTTCACACATATTAATGTTTCGTGATTACAGTAAGCATGATTTTTTCTGTCTTAATGTTGCATTAATAATATCACGCACTATATAAAAGAACAGTGGTATTTTCCCTCGCTGAGTTAATTTTATTTTGATCGTTTATTGCGCATCAAGGCTACTGTTTTCTCTTTAATTTAATTAGTTTCAGTTAAAGTATACTCCAGGAGTATCGTTTTTTAAATAACTTATGGCCGATACTTTTGAGTACGTTGGTTCGTTTTGCATTTGTTTGCACATTTGGTTCTAACAATTCACAGTTTTTCACTTTTTTTGGTCATCAGTTTCTCTTGTCTCTGGGTATTGTTTATGTCTAGTTTTTTTTGTGAAAACTCTATTGATGACTAGACAGTGCGAAAAAGCAATTGCTAACGCCTAGGTTGTCGACACCCTGCAGAAAGTGGTATGCAGTGCGGTGAGTGCAATGGATGGTACCACGAAGGTTGCACGAATCTAATGCCTGCTACTTTCACACAGCTTAGTAAAAATAGTTGCGTATGGTTGTGTCAGCAGTGCTACTCGAATACAAATAGCTTGCTATCCGAGGCCACTGCAATTGTGAATGCTGCTAAAAGGAGTGTAAGCAAGTGTAGTTGAGACACATAAAGTGGTACTCGCCCTGTGGATAAACAAATCGGTATGAAGTTGCCTTAAATAAGTTCGGGGTCGACTGACTTGCGTGAGCCAATGGACGAACAATGATCTATAAAGAGGTCTGTTAGAAATAAAAGCTGAAGAAAAGAAGTTCCCTCTGTCTTTCGCCCTCCAAACGTCAGCGAGCAGGGAACACCTAGAAAACCTAGTCTCAAGGTCAGGTCTGTTTCTGTCAGGAAGGACAACAACCTGATTACCCAAGTGACCGGCAACTATTCAGAATCTCATAGCGTGTGAAACGTGATTGATTGCTACTAAAATGAATGTTTATGGATGAGTAGTGATCAAGAATAAGAAACGACCTAATGTTGCTAAAGAAGAGCCGGCCCCCAAAAGAGCAGCTGATAAATTAAAGACTGATCATACTGACAGGTCAGTTGTATTCCATCGAGTCAAGGCTCAGAACTCGTTTCAGACATGAAATTGAGTTGATAGAAGAGCTACTAAACCAACCAATGCTTCAGAATATCTCTGGAGTCACTTTGCTATAGGTTTATAGACTAGTTAGCCAAAAGGGCTTAAAACAAAATCAGACCAGGCTGTTTAAAATATTATAGTACAGAATGGACATAAACTAAAGGAGTCAGGAGTTTTTGTCCATAAACACTTGTCGTTCGCGAACCGTATAGGAAGACGAGGATCATAAGAAGAACTAAAACTAGGGTTAGATGCTGGCGAGAATTGTAAACTTGTGAGTGGTGAGGCTTCGGCGGAGATAGACTCAACGAAGCCGGATGTAATCGCAGTCACAGAAACTTGGTTGACGCAGTCCATAGACAGTGCGGAACTTGATTTTGAAGGTTTAGCATTAGTGAGAACCGACAGAATCCAGAAGCGTAAAGAAGGAGTAGCTCTATTCATTAGAAATGCTATCCAATTTACCGTTATTGGTAACATATCCCGTGAAAGTGGGACGTGTGGATTAGTTAGTTGCCGCTTGTAATGCAAATGACATGAGCTGTTGATTGATATGGTCTATCGCAGTCCAAGCTGTGAGGTAAACGAAGTCTTGCTAGATGGTCTCAAAACTTGGTCACAAATTGGTTGATGTTTAGTACTAGGAGACTTTAATGCACCTACGGTAGACTGGAAAAATCTGAGAACTGAATTGTCAGAAAATTCCTCCGAGCAGGAACTAGTTGATGCGGTTATCACATGTGCCCTAGTGTAAAATTTGAAAGAAGCAGCTAGGTAAGACCCGAACTCAGCATCATCCTAACTCAATCTCATATTGACCCGTCATGAGGATGATGTCACAAACTTACATTATATGCCACCCTTAGGCAAAAGTGACCATGCAGTTATAGTCTTTTATTTCCATATAGTTGTCAATGACGAGGATGTGTCAGCACAGCCCAGACCAAACTTCTGGAAAGCAAATATGAAATGTATTATACACTTAACATCCTTAGTAGACTGGTCAATAGAACTGGGGTCTCCCATAGAAACGGCTTGGGATGGATGCAGAAATTTTTACTGTATCTAATAATCGAAATGACACTTAGAGTCATGACCTTTATGTGTATACTTGCTTTTTTGCCTTTGTTGTTCTGTTACCTGGGCTACTGCAGATTAAGGTCTCTTAGCGAATTTGTCCAGGGAGGTTGGATTCTATATTCATTATTAGTGATTGGTGATACAGCTCCGAGTTTATACAAAACGTATTTGTGAGCTATCGACTTAGATAGTTTCTTTTTTCATTTGTATTTTGTCTTCTTCCAGTCTGTGTACATAATTCATGTCTTGACCAAGTATCAAATATGTTGTGGTAAGGTATAAACCAAAGCTATACATACTTCAAGAAATTGTGCTATACTTTAGATCTGTCCAGCAAGTTAGTGTAATCCCTTGTTTCGAAACTATTCTTTGGACAATGACCATTCAAAATGAAGCTTTTTGCCAGTCCTATGGTTGTCTCGATCTTAACCAGAACCTGTCTGAAGGAGCATGCCACGAATCACCGTTTCAATCCTCTAAGCACCGTTCTACACCAAACCTATTAGCTCTATCTAGAAGTCAGATGGAGAGGATTCAGGTAATTTTTTCAATCAGTATTCCAATTATTAGATCATATCCGAGTTCCATGATGGTGAAGAAGTACTTGTAAGTGATCTGAAAACTGTCGTTAAGGTAGAAGTTGAACATATTTTATCCAACTGGATCTAGGTGTACAAATATCCATTAGAAAAATTGGGTATACTTACTTCAACAGAAATAAATAATCTGTTCTATTCAATTGAAGCTATTATACCAGTTTTTGAAGGTTAGTCAGTTTTCATCTTGTGATTCTTATGTTTTAGGATTAGCAAATAGTCTTTCATCAGAAGTGAATAAATATTTCAGCATACCATGCATAGGAATGATCTTATATCTGTGGGTAAGGTTATTACGTTTTTGTAGTTTTGATAAAAGCAACGTGTCGATCATACCAGATGATTCTTTTCTATGACTTCTATTACCCTACTTTGCTAATCTTAAAATACTTTAGCTTATTCTTTCAGTTATGTTAGAGGAGGATAGTTTTGTATGTTTGTGGTGAATAACATGGAGAGGGGATGATACTTTATGTAAAGTTAGGTGTTATCCAGTCGTTTTGGTTTGTTGACAATTTTCATTGCAGTTTCTTAAAGGAAGAAAGCATTCACTCAATATCTTCGACTTCGGTATCTGTGAACATCTATAAGGAAATATGAAATAAAACATTTCCACCACTCTTACTATTGTTACTAGAAATACGCTACAGATCCGTTGTGGCAGTACTTAGTTCTTTTGACTAGGAAGCTATATATCAGTAGAAGCTACCGATAATTTTTATGGGAATAGTTATTCAGTGATCAACCACTTGTTTTCAGCGTATATGATTGGTTAATCGGTCCTATTAAATCTTTCACATACTGGGACATTTGTGGCTACAACAATTAGCATGTCTAAATTAGAATATTTTAGCAAGATCATAAACCTCATCCATCACTTCTCAACCTTCATACCTGTAAGCCATTAATATATGCATTCGTAAATCACGAAGTGATCTTCCTATATGGTTATAAATTGCTCACTGTAAACGTCTTGTCTACTGTCTTGTATGATTTAATTCCTTTCCAGTTACATGATAACGTTTATCTTGAAGACTCGGCAGTAAGAGGATGAAAGTGAAAACCTTAGGAGTCTTCTGGATGACTGAATGACAGAGCACAAAGTACTAAGCTGTTAGTGTATATCGCGTACTGTTTTGAGGTCGTAAAATTTTCAACTTTCAATATCTGCTTAAGGTTAACTTTGACCTATACTTGTTTTATTATTCACAACTCTCTTTGTTCAAATAATGACTGTTTAGCAATTCCAAAAAAGCAATATAAAGTGCAAACCTTTTTGATTATCATATGAATCGAAGGGATTCCATGCAAATGTTTAGGAAAAGACAAACAGAGCAAAGAAATGTTCGTCACAATTATTTTTCGTTCATTGCTCTTCATCAACATATGTTTAACAATGATAAAATATACCAGTTAAGTGGTAGTATTTTAGATCATTAAAATAAGATTATAAATAAATTGGTGGTTACTAGGTTTGAAATTCGTATAAAATAGACGGCAAAATCAAGTTTTACTGAAAGAGTTTCTTTCTTATGGATTTGGATTGCATTTTAGTTGTGTTTAACTGAACTATAAGGATAGAGTTTACTTGAGTCATTATTTTAGAATTTTTCTAACATGTTTAATTAAACAGTGTTGTTTGCGAAATGACTATTAAAAAGGAGGGTCGATTTTTAAGTCAGTTATAGGTCTTACGTAAAGAGAAGAAATACGAACTAAAATGTTTAGATATAGTTGTTGGAAGAAAAAGGAGGTTCTAGAACTTTCTGTAGGTCGATTGATGGAGTAGGACATTACTGCCTTTTAATCATTATTTTTAGTTTTCCATAAACAACTATTTCCCGAATAACAATTGTACATGTTATGCTCTATTTGATGTTCTTATCTTTTGTTAATCATCATAATTGTAATTAATGGATTTCGATGTGATAGGCTTTGCGTATGCTTCAAACTGATACTTTTGCACAAATCCTGAACTAGATAGAATAGGACATTAGCTAGGTGAATGATATATGTTGAAGTATCTCACCCAGTTTTTTGAATCGTATATTCTGTAGAAACTGATATTATTGTTCTACTATATATTTTCTCGTATTAGTTGGGTCTTGAAGTAATAACAAAGCCACAACCTGATTACCTTAATTATGGACGTAAATGTTATCCGTATCCAACACAGAATTATGTTCAGTCTATCTGTGAGAGTTACATTGAGATGATGCCTTCATCAATAAAACTTCTCTTGGATTATTCAGCCCACTTATATGAAGCACGTAAATATTTTGAGGCTTTACGCGAACAAAAGCCTGCTTTTACTGATTTTCTTTCACGTTGTTCACATACACATTTCAGTAAACGTTTGGATTTGTGGCATTTCTTGGGTAATTCATTCTTGTAGTATTTTTGTATAAGATTGTTTTATGAGTAAAGTTCTACGCTTTTTTTCTTATAGTTGATAATTATTCCTATTTATCATATCAATATTTCTAATATATTGTTCAATTGGTTGACTATATCATTGTTATATATATATATATATATGGTTGGGTAGTTTTCACTTTTACATAGGGGCTTAGAACATTAAAGTTCTAAAGCTGGTTTAATGCTGGGGCAAGATCCTGTAGCCACAATAACATAGTTTCTCTATCACCAAATCAAAATTTGGAGTTTAAGTTATTAGTACAGTAGATAATTATTTTACTTGTGGGGTATCTATGTCTAGTAAGTACTTGTAAACCTTGATAGACCACAAAGCTATATATTACCAAGAGTATGTATATGGTACTGGAGAAAGAGGGGAACATTCGGTTTGACAGTTAAACTATGGAAATTTGTATGATTTTTACTGATTACTACTTAGCATCCAAATACCCTGGTATTGTCGAGAGTGAGGAGATTCCATTCTCATGCAGTTTATAACCTCTATCAGGTAAGTCCTACCTATTGTTACCTTAACGGAACAGGAGTTATGTTTCTGTATATGAAGCGTCATGTCCGAACAAACAATAAATGAGTGGTAACTGCTAGGAATTGTTTATGGACTATTACTACATATATTCTTATCATATAATTATTGTGTAACTAGATTACACATATATTCATATTCCTTTTATCATAAGCTTTCATTTGACCCATTAGCTACCATTGTACGATTTACCATCCTTAATTTATTCCAGATCTGTTGTCCACAATCTTTTATACTGAACCTCTTTTGGCTTGATCTTGTATAATAATTATTTTTCACTTGATGGTGCGATGCGGTTTAGTCTTCTTGTATATAAACCACGTATGTCTGAAGCATATGATTCATACAGCGGAGGGAGATATTGTGTTCTGGACTCAACGAGCAGGGTCAAAGGAGTTGACTGAAGACTGCTAGTGCTGGTTGGCGTGTCGCTGGTTTAGCACAAGGACAGTGCCATAGAAATCGGTATTCCGATTATCGATTTTGTGACGTGATGTTTGACGGGCCATAGAACATAACACAAAGGACGAAAAGCAAAATCCCAGGTGCAGAGAGTCCACCTTGGGGGAGCTGAAAAACCCCTATTTCAAACTAGTGGTGTGCATGGGCCCCAGGATCTCAAGGGGACGAATGATGTTCAAACCATGAGACGGTAACTACCACTATTACTTCTCCACCTTGTGGATCAGATTTTTAATCCCAGTGCTTGAGGAGTGGGTGCCTATAAAACTACCAATTTCTGTTTAGGTGCTCGGGCGGTATTCCAGCCCGCTCACAAATATTTGTATTGTGTCTATTATTTTTGGTGCTCATTTTTACCAAGTTTCACGTGGCTTTACCGCGCTTATTCTTTAAAAGTATAGTAAGCAAATGATCGGTCTTAAATATTCACCTTTTAGGCTTGTTTCAGACTATGGTTAATCGATATTGGTGGATATCTTATCAAAACCTTTTTGAATGCAACGATCAATAGGTTTTGAAGGCTTTTGTTCGTTTTTTTTTTAGAGAATATAGTAAGAAAAACTTCTGGAAATAGATCTGTCACTAAAAAATTATGTAACTTCACGTTTGAGGTGATTCTACTTTATATAAATTTATGTGCTTACTTCTAATTGCTTTTTAAATTGCATAAAACGTGACGTACTTCACTAATAAGCCAAGTTTTCTGTACTTGGTGTCATCATCCTGTTTTATGAAAACGTTGCAGTGTTTGCTAAACGAGCAAAAGAGATGTTAGTCTAGTTCTCATCAACAAACTACGCGTAATTGTTTTCGCCGAGTTTGCACTTTGTCATTGTTTTTTATGTCTCCATCTGTTGTATGTACGTAGATAATTATGAATGTGTGCCTTAATGCTCTTATTTTCTTGTAAAAAATGCTCTTTTTATTATCATTCTTTTGTATTTTGAGTCTGTTTCTACTTTCCTTTTCTATAGAATGTCCCAAAAGCAGACTGACTAGGTATCCTTTATTACTGAATCGACTGATCGAATTGGTGAGTTTTCCTGATACTTTCATTGTTTGTTCATGATTTCCAAGATATTCTTTCGTCAGACTACCACTAATAATGTGTTGAGGGATAAAGGCTTTTAAGACTTAACAGATCTCTAATGTAGTGGTCAAGTATGCATACTTTTACGCTGTTTATAATTAATTTTTTACTGTTGAAGTTGTTATTGAAAATCTAACCAGTAACTACCTTCATTTTATCTTCGGGTTTGTTGAGAATAGTGTTTCCTTCTTTGCTTCCTTTTAGATCTTTTTTAGTTGGTTTGAAATCGAGACAGAAGGTGCTCGAAGAACATAGTACCGTTGATTGTGATATCTTGCTTTATGTAACATCCTGTACATTTTATCCCATGATAATGCACAAACAATTGTTAAGTTTGCAAGTGATGATGTAAAGTAGTTTCTTCTTCGGAATAATGAAGAATATGAGATTATATTTAAATTAATCAATAACCTAATGGTTTGGTATGATTGTAATTGTATCACCATTGTGGTTACCGTGTTGGTCAGTGTTTGGTAACCGCCTAAACGGGTTGTAATAATCTTAGGGTTGTTCACTTTATAACTTGGGATCATGATGTGAATTATAGTTAGTTGTGTTGGATTAGCTGTTATCAATACATGTCTCTCCAACTGAATACTTAGAAGCCGTTCAAAGTAATGTTTTGGGAATTTATGTGATGTCAACTGTGATCAAAATTAGGGTTCTCGTATTACTCTTAAGCAATTATACAACACATTATTAACCTCTTACCTGTGATCTCACTTCTTGTCTTTTGTTGTCTTATCGTCTGGTCAAGATATACGGTTTTATGTATTTTAACGTGTGACTTCTTTGTGTGCCTAGCTTAGATTTGAATAAATCTATTATGCATAATCGTAGAATTCATATTATAATGGTAATATAGTAATTTTTATGTACTTTTCAGACACCTTCAACCGATCCAGAACTCAGTCATTTACTCGTTGTCCGGTCTGCCTTCACCTTTATAATTGACGAGTTAAACCGTCGAGTTGGTGAAGCTATGCGTAATTTGTACTTAAAATGCATAGGATTCCACGGCAACTTAGAAGTACGTCCTCCACTTGTCTAATGAAGGGTTTTTGTTAGTTTTTGTTTTGTTGTAAGTATTTGCTTTCTCTGGAAGCCAAAATATTATCTATTTTGTAAGTATTGTCAATCCGAAGTATGAAAACATCAGGCTTGACAATTGGTAATCTTAAAAAAGTAAAGCATCGGTGTAAATATATAAATTTGTAGATGCTGCTGTACTCTGGTCACAAAGAAGAAAATGCTTCGCACACTCAGGGGTTTGCTCTGATGAAGCACATAATGCACTTATAGTATGGGAATTTCATGGACCCAGGATCATCAAAGCATCTTTCAAAACAAATAAGGAGGGAATCACAATGAAAGTTATTCAGTGTTATGCACCCACCAATGATAGCAATGATGATGATAAATGTCAGTTTTATGAGAGGCTGCAGTCGATCATAGAGAATTGTCAAGGAAATGACGTGACCATCTCTTTGGGAGACCTAAACGCCATAGTTGGAATGGACAACACCGGATATGGAGATATCATGGGACGACATGGACTGGGAGAAAGGAATGAAAATTGAGGGAGGTTTTCAGATTTATGTGCATTCAACAAAATTATTATAGGCAGCACTATATTCCCCAACAAACGTATACATAAAGCTACATGGGCTTCACGAGACTACACTACAGATCGTATTTACATCACTAAAAATGCAGAAGATCAATGGAAGATTTGAGAACCAAGAGAGGAGCTGACATAACTTCAGATCACCACTTTGTGGTTGTCAAGATGAAAGTGAGGCTAAAAAAGTACTGGACAACTGGGGAAACAGCATTACAAAGGTTCAATATAGCTTTCCTTCGAGATACTGACAAACTCAATGAATTCAAGATAGGTCTCAACAACAGGTTCCCAAGCCTTACAAGATCTACTAAAAGAAGAAACTACTATGTAGAGCATCTGGAAGGCGCTCAAAAAATCACTATTTATTTATTTATTTATTTGAACACATAAACATTGGTACAAGGAGGCACCAAATACATATGCGCCATACAAATCTCATTCGATATGTGTGAGGGCTGTGATACTGCCCGGGTGCCCAAATCGAAGCAGGTGGTTTTCTTAGGGGACCACACCCCGAGCCTTCGACCTGAAGGTCTGATCCACAAGGCAGTGGAGCATCGTGAGGAGATGCAGTCCCATGGAAGCCGGTGACCAACAATTGGTTCATACGCCATTTGTTCCAGCAGGATACTGGAGCCCATGTGCACCATTGGTTTGGAATCCGGTTAAAGCGCCGGACATTCGCTTTTCGTCCTCTCATTTTCGTAAACAACACCCCCGCCACGAGAAGGCAGTGAGTAGGACTTCCCTGGCAGAGGCTATATACGCGTGGCCGTGTGAGAGCATTTCGAGAGGGAGAGCGGACTTTCCCCACTCTCGGCCGTACCAGGGCATTTGGGGGCCAAAAAATCACTAACTTCAACATATCACGAGGTTCTGAGCTTCAAGAAGCACTATCATAAAGAGTGGATCTCTATTGGAACTCTGGACAAGATTCAAGTAAGGAAGAGCGAAAAAACAGTAATTAACAACAGCCGAACAGGAACAGAGAAAGTCAAGGCACAAGTTGAGTACACAGAAGCAAACAAGCAAGTGAAGAAGAGCATTAAAGCCGACAAGCAGAAATACGTGGGAGAACTAGCAACGACGGCGGAATAAGCTGCAAGAGAATGAAATCTGAAACAAATATATGGTACAGCGAATAAACTAGCAGGGAAATATAGTAAACCTGAGAGACCGGTCAAGGACAATGAAGGTAAGTCAATCACTGAGGTCCAAGAATAAAAGAACAGATAGGTAAAACACTTTGAAGAACTCTTGAATAGGCCATCTCTATTGAACCCACTGGCACCTACAAACCTCCCTATAGATGTCACACCACCAACGATCGAAGAAATCAGGATGGCCATCAGTTAGATCAAGGGTGGGAAAGCAGCAGGACCTGACAATCTACTAGCTTGAGCACTGAAATCAGACATAGGAGGAACTGCAAAAACGCTTCATATTTTATTCAGGAAGATTTGGGAGGAAGAACAAGTGCCGATGAATTGGAAAGAAGAATGCCAAAAAAGGGGATCTGAGCAAATGTAAGAACTCTAGAGGCATCACACTTCTATCAGTACCAAGAAAGGTTTTCATCAGAGTGTTGTTAAACCGAATAAAAGACTCAGTAGATGCCCAGCTTCGAGATTAACAGTCCGAATCCCGTAAGGATCTGTCGTGCACAGACCAAATTGCGACACTACAGATGATCGTTAGGAAATCAATTGGATGGAACTCGTCACTATACATAAACTTCTTTGACTATGAGAAAGCATTTGACAGTGTGGACAGGACGACTTTATGGAAGTTTCTTCGACACTATGGTGTACCTGAGAAAATCATCAACATCATCCGGAATTCACACGACGGGCTACGCTGCAAAGGGTGCATGGAGAACGGTTGCATTTCAAGTAAGGACCGGAGTCAGACAAGGCTACTTACTCCCCCTTTCTCTTTCTTGCAGTGGTTGACTGGATTATGAAGACTTCGACATCTGAGGGTAAGCACGGGATACAATGGACATTTTGGATGCAACTGGGCGAGTTGGACTTGACAGATGTCTTAGTTCTTCTATCCCATACACACGAACAAATGCAGATAAAGACAACTAGTGTAGCAGCAGTCTGCATCAGTAGGCCTCAACATATACAAGGGAAAAAGCAAGATCCCCAAATACAACGGAGAGAATACCAATCCAATCACACTTGATGGAGAAACTCTAGAAGAGGTGGCAGCTTCTACGTACCTGAACAACATCATCGATGAAGTGGGAGTATCCTATACAGACATAAAGACCATTGTTGGCAAAACAAGGGAAGCACTCCAACATTTGACGAACATATGGAACTCAAGACAACTGTCAACCATTATCAAAGTCACAGTTTTAAATACGAATGTCAAGACAGTTCTGTACGGAGCTGAAACTTAGAGAACTACCACAACCATCATCAAAAAGTACGTGTTTCTGAACAGTTGTCTTCGTAAGATACTAAATATCCTTTGGAAGAATACTATCAGCATCAGTCCATTGTGGGAGAGGAGAAAACAGCTTTGATCTGAAGAGGAAATTAGGAAAATATGAAAGGAACCAAAAAAGAGGAAGACCAAAGGACATATTGCGCCGGGAATTGGAAGCAGACATGAAAAGGATGAATAGCAACTGGAAAGGATTGGAGAGAACTGAGTTGGATGGAGAATGCTGGTGAGCGGCCTATGTTCCTCCATAGGGGTATCCAGAGTCGTATAGGAACGTGGAACGTCTTAGTACTCATTCTATGATACTATTAAAGTAGCTTTTTAGCTTATAAGATTGATGACTAAGATAACTTTTTTTGGCGTTATTGTGTTCATATGTTGATTTCGTTAAAAAATGCATATCCCAGCTTGTATTTATGAAAGTGTATTTTCATTACTGATATCATTTACTGATCTTAGAGTACCATTGGAAACCAAAGCCGATTGGACATCTGTTTTGTACTATCATGGGACTCCTCAGAAGTTTGCACCTACAACCCAACAGGGATAGAACTCAGGAGCTCCAGATATCTCAGCGAACCCTGAAGCTTTAGACTTTTGACCTGACCTTTAGTGTTGTACATGTCTAGCTTTTCACCTGATCTCTTGAAATTTCCTTTAAAAATTAATAAACAGTAAGTACTTGATTAATATTAGTACAGAGGAATTTGTTTAGATGGTTGAATTTCCATATCTTACGTCACTGTTTACAACTCTGTCAACACATTAATCTCATAAAACTTTGTAACCTTTTATCAAGATAATGATGTAATTGATAAATTCATTTTTCTTCCCGTCTCTGTATAAATGCCACTAAACTTTGTATTACCAAATGTTTTTATTTAACACAGTTACAGTACAAAGATATGGTATGTCATCAGAAATCACTGTTATTGAAAGGCAATCTGCATACTGATATTGGGGAAGTAAGTGATGCGTACATTTATAACTATTTTCGCTTTATGAACTGGATACCTCAATTAGATTGAAATAAATATCATATTTGTTGAAATCTATGGAAAAAGCGATCACTAGATTATTAAATTTTAGTTGGATATTTTCAAAAAATAACATTGTCTTTTCTTTAACCGTGGTTACATATGTCATGGATTTTTCTTATTTCCCCATAACATTTTGATAAAATACAGTTTATATTTTAACAAATGAGCAGTTCTTTTTTGTCTATATGAATCATTAGTACTGACGTTTTAAGGGGTCTTTAGTGAGTTGTGGCTAAATTTCATGATATTCATGTTATTGACATTAAAGGGCTTAGACATTACTTATCAGATGCCGAATGCAATGAAAATGCTTTTACACTTAATAGCCTTGATTGAACTAAGCAGTTTGGAGGTATTGTGTAGTTTCTGTCACATGAAGTTGTTAATTGTGTTGGTTTTTGTAATTATTGGAATGTCTGCATTACTATCTACTTTATCGTCATTATTATTTCGTCATCTCACTCATTATTTAACTTGACTACTCGAAGCGTTAGTGAATGAGGTAGACTAGGAATTAAGTTTCGTAAAGATCCAACAGATGAAACCGTATGGCTTGTTTGAAATAATAAGTACTAAATACTCTGAGATCCATAGATTGGGGATTATAATACATAGTTTTAATAAATTACATATCTTTTTCGATTTATCATCATATTTTATAGTTTTGGATTTTATCAATCTTGAAATAAAAGCATGTGTATGTAGATATTACATTTTGCTTCTGTAAAAGGTGCAGGTCTTTTTCTTAATTATTATCTTTATTCTTTCTTTTGAAATTGTTAAAAATTAAAGAACACATTTTATTCAGTTGTTCCCCTTCACTATTGAGGATGTTATTTTTATTTAAGGGGTTTTATTACTCAAATTTCATTTTCGATTGTTACAAAACATATATTCGTCTTATAGTATTACCATTCATATTTATATTATTATTGTAAATTTATCATTTATGGTGCTCAAATATATCATCGGTGATAGGAATTGCTAAGATTGGTAGTGTTTCAAAAAAGAACAAAAGTAAGTAACTTACTAACGGGCACGAATAGTAATAAGTTCGTGCACTATGCTAATAATTTCGCTACGTCGATTTCAATGTTGTGAAGTGAACTAACCCTATCATATTTTTCTGTCTCACTAGAGTAAAAACACCAGTTTTGCCGTTGAAGTGTTCACACCGAATAATTTATTGTAACAGAATTTCAACCTAATTGATATTGATGTAATTCTCATAGGTTGTAATTTGAGACTGCATATCGTCAACACCTCTTTTAATAGCGTGATTCTCTTGGGTTAACTTGGAACTGAGCCGTTTGCCGCTGTTGTCTTGTCAGCTATCTCCTGGGACGTAGGTCTACCTGTTCTGGAGGTACTATCTTTGTTTCTTCTGGAATCGTTCATTAGCTTCGGTAAATTGAAAGCACCTACTGGTGATTCCGCCCCCAGATGCCCTGGTATAGCTGAGAGTGGGGCGGGCCCGCCCTCCCTCTCTAAATACTCTCACATGGCCACGTGTATACAGCCTCTGCCAGGGGAGTGCTACTCACTGCCTTCTCGTGGCGGGGTGTTGTTTACGAAAATGAGGGGACGAAAAGCGAATATCCGGCGCTTTAACCAGATCCCAAACCAAATCAATGGTGCACATGGGCTCCAGTATCCTGCTGGAACAAATGGCGTATGAACCAACTTTCGGTCACGGGCTGCCATGGGACTGAATCTCCTTACGATGCTCCACTGCCTTGTGGATTAGACCTTTAGGTCAAAGGCTCGGGGTGTGGCCCCCAAGAAAACCATCTGCTTCAGTCTGAGCACCCGGGCAGTATCACAGCTCACACACAAATAAAATGAAAATGACTATATTTACTGAAAATCCTATTCACGCTTCGATTAACAGTTAAGCAATTAACATTATTATATTCTACGTCACTTATTCACTCTTTTATTCCCACTTTGTGTATCCTTATTTCTCGACTTAAACAGCAGCTCGCTTATGGTGGAAATTCGGTTCTATCTAAACGTTATCGAGTCACTGTCCAGTTGAAAATTGTATGTTACCACCGAATATGAGTACTGAAGCAGTTTTTCTGAAACCACGTGCACCATTCAAACTGGCTGCCTTCAACGTTCGCACACTTATGCAGGTCGGACAACAGATAAGGCTAGCTATGTCTTTGGAAAGTCTTAATATCGATGTCTGCTGTCTATCTGAGACCCTCATTCAAGACTCTGGTGAAGTACTACAAATTCGCTTCCCATCTGTCACTTCAAAAAGCTTGTTTTACGTGCGTTTATCCGGGGACCCTGTGGCATCTTCGTCTGGACTCGCTGGCGTTGGTGTCTCACTAAGCGCTAGAGCTGAGGCAGCACTAGTCGATTGGATTCCCGTTAACAGTCGGTTATGTGCTGTTAGATTAAAGAGTTCCATCAAAGTGAGAAGAAATCGGCGTGAGAAACGATGTCTTTTCGTCATCTCCGCCTATGCCCCGACAGATTGCAGCCCGGATGCAAGACTGCCGCTCCTTTTGGAGTACCTATCTGGACTCTGATCATGCCCTGGTCTGAGCCAATCTTACCTTACTTTTCAGTGGCCAACGAAGTGATCGTCACTAAAGGATTGATGTCAGCAAGTTGGTCGCAACTTCTGTTGCAACTACGTATCGAACCGAGCTAGCTTCGAGGCTAGCCACCATTCCACCGAAAAGTATAGATGAGCATTCGTTGCAACTTCATAACGTCATGAAAATGGCGAATAAAGACGCTTGCAGCTTCGCGAAACGTCCCGTTTGTAAGCACTGGGTTTCTTCAGGCTCCTTACATGTCGTTGAAGCCCGTCGGTCTACTCCGGGTGACCGTGAGTTTGACTACAAACGAAGGCTGTTACGTAATGAACTTGGGCAAAGCTTGCGTAAGGACTAAAAAGCCTGGTGGTCGGAGCGTGCTTATGAGCTGGAAGCAGCAGCTGCATCTGGTAACTACCGGAAGCTCTTCCGACTCATCCGAGCCACTGGCAGCAAGAGGTCTGGTGTGAGCTAAACAATCTGTGAGGTTGACGGGACGCCAATCACTAACATCCATCAACGTCTTGGACGATGGGCAACATCGGTCGGACTGTCCTGCCCTCCATCGCCGGTGACGACTGATCCACCAAATGAGGCGGGAGTCCGCAAGGAACTCCAACTCTTGAAGCGCTACAGATCACCAGGCCCAGATGACTTACCCCTGGCTCTTTTTAAAGATGGTGGTGACTTTCTACCTAAGGAACTGACTGTGTTTACAAAGGTCTGAAAACTTGAGAGTGTACCAACATCATGGAATGAGTCGATGGTTGTCCCTACCTTTAAAAAGGGCTCACTTCATTCCTGTAAAAACTATTGGCGATAAGTCTACTTCCGATTGCGTCCAAGCTGTTGGCTTCCGTCATTCTTCGTAGGTTGTTCAAAACGCGAGGAGTAGGCTGGTTTTCGTTCCGTTCGAGGATGTATTGATCATATCTTCACCCTCCACCAAATGTTAGAACACCGTCATACTTATCACAGGCCAACAATCGTAGTGTTTCTTGACATCAGGGCTGCCTTCGATTCGTTGGATAGGACTGTTCTCTGGGATTGTCTATTGAAGAAGGGTGTGCCTGAGAAGTTTATTAACACCCTAAAAGCCCTGTATAAAAACACCTCAGGCAGAGTGAGGGCATACAACCACCTCTCTCCATTGTTCCATTCGAGCAGTGGGTTTAGGCAGGGTTGCCCAATCTCACCATTCCTCTTCAACTTTGCCCTCGACGACATTCTGGAAACAGCTCTGATGGATGTAAGTAATGGTGGTGTGGATCTGTTGCCTGGAGAAGGACTTCTTGACCTTGAGTATGCGGATGATATTGTTTTACTGTGAGATAATGCCCAAGATATGCAATCCGCACTTAATCAGTTGGCAATCAGTGTCCGTAGGTATGGTATGTGCTTTGCACCTTCGAAATGCAAAGTACTTCTACAAGACTGGCAGGATTCTTATTCTGTACTCACTCTGGATGGTGAGCAGATAGAAGTAGTCGAGAAGTTCGTGTATCTTGGTAGCTGCATAAGTGCTGGTGGTGGCGTGAGTGATGAGATCAATGCACGTATAGTGAAAGCCAGACCGGCTTATGTCAATCTAGGCCATCTTTGACGCCTCCGTGATGTTAGTCTGGCTGTTAACGGTCGGATCTACAACGCGTCGGTGAGAGCAGTTTTGCTCTATGCTTGTGAAACCTGGCCTCTCCGAGTTGAGGACGTTAGACGACTCTCTGTGTTCGATCATCGCTGTCTCCGAAGGATTGCTGACATTCAGTGGCAACACCATGTCAATAATGCAGAGGTTCGGCATTGTGTTTTCGGGCACAGAGATGATAATGCGATTGGTGTCACCATCTTGAAACACCGACTTCGGTGGATTAGACATGTTCTACGAATGTCGTCCCAGAGAATTCCACGTCGTGCAGGGACTGGTTAGAAAAAACGAAGAGGTGGTCAGTGTATGACATGGTGTCGTGGCATGAAAGAAAGCTGCAAAGGGCTGACCTGTGTCGGTCCTTCACGACTCTCTGGCTGGGGTCCGAGAGATGGTGTGACACAGTGGCTAGAGACGTTATCAGATATGGCTCAGAATAGAAGCCAGTGGCGATCCTGCTGTAACCTTCTTTTAATTTCTTCATAAATAGTGGTTGTATCATTCTTAACTGAAAGATTTCTTCTGATTGTTCCTTCCCATCTCCCCCATTATTGTTATTATAATTACACACTACCTTACACTAATCTGGCCGTTGTAGTTCTTTTTCTTGTTTTACGCTCCTCACCTTTTTTTTTCTTCCCATTCTCACTGTTTTGTGTAGCGCATATATATTTGGTGCCCTCTTGTACCAATATTTATGTGTTCAAATAAATAAATTGGTGTTTCCAGGGGCAAGTTGCTTGTTTTTATATGCTCCTATAATACGCGTTTTCATAATGGATTAAGATATATTCATTTGTTTTCTCCAACTACCCCATACATTACCTGACCCAGCCTTCGTTTCACACTTCCCTCTATCCTCGTGTCGTGTCTCTTTCTGTTATCCCGGACGAACACAGGAGCTCTGATTTCAAATGTTACTATTTTCACTGGTATTGATTTTTTTTACAAGTAATCCTATTTGGTAACATCAGGTGGTGAGTTGTTATAAATCTGTGGCCCTCGAAGACTTCAGCTGAAGATTTCCGATTCGCTAAGCTTCGTTTGGTATAGTTCTATACAATAACATAAGATTGTGCAATTTATCGATGGGGTCTGTTTTCTGTTTGATTTTAGCAATGCTCTTTTGAAAGTGTCAATAAACCGCTCTGCTTGTCCATTTGAATAGGGATGGGATGGTAGTGAGTGAATGTTTGGTGGGTTTACGGTATCAGAACTTTTGGAAATGTTCTAAAGTAAATTGTAATTGATTTTCTAACACTAATATCTGGAACTTCGTTGCGAGAAAAGATCTCTGGCAGTATCTGGAGGGTTTCTGTTGTTGTAGGTAGAACCACTTGAAGAATCTCTTGCCATTTTGAAAATGTGTCGACGAATGCCAAATATGCGATGTCACTGACTGGTCCTGGAAAGTTTATGTGGATTCTGGACTATGGATCTCCAAGTAGTTGCCGTAAAACTGGGGGCACCGGTCTGTTGAGTTTTGTTGCTTGTTGACACTTAGCGCAGCCGTTCACAAATTTCCCAATTTATATGCTCATCATTGTAATAACATTTGATGGCTTTTATTTCTTGTCAGTGGCTTTTTTGAAACTTAAGTTTTTAACTCTCACTCAGTCATAATAAACGTGGCGCCTGATGCAAATTTGTTTTGGTCCAAGTTGCCATATTACTTCAACACGAGATAAAATCAACATAATAAGTATCAAAGAAGTCGAAATTATTATTGTACCAATGATACTATGAAAGACTAAACATTCAAAACCAAGTCATTAGCTAATTGAATGTGTTGTAATCTGTCTTCAATATGATAATCATATTAATCAGATCCTCTTAGTCTGGTATTTACATCCTTAACCGAGAACTCATTATTTGGTGCTTCAACATAAACTAGCTGACATCAGGTGTATCATTAAAATTCATGCTAATTATTCATTATCGGAACAGTTCATTATTAGTCGATCCTGCTTTATTGCATTTTTTGAAACATAATTTAATGACTGTTTGTAAATAATAAGCTTCGATTGAAACGCTGTTTTGTAACATGTTTAAAAATTGTTTAATGTCTCGGAAAATAAGTACGTCAGGCAATCCACCTGAAATGGTTTCCAGTTATATATATATATATATATATATATATATATATATATATATATATATATAACTACATAATTTCTCATACCTTTTATTTGCGATCTGTTAACTTATACCGGTCTCGATCGCTATCATTATAATTTTAACAATGTTCATCATCAAAATACTCTGAAGTACTTTTAAAACTTTCTCATATTAATTTATTGAAATCTTTATATTTCAGGTAACCGTTTTTGTTTTTCCTCAATTAATGCTTATAACAATAAGTTCTGAACCCGATAATAATAGTCGCTTAATATCACGTTGCTATTATGGCAAATTATCACGTCAAATCACCAAGCCGCATATTACTACTTCATCTAAAAACTCACCGACTTCACTTGTCTCTCCACTACCGTCTATAATATGCTCTGCGAGTACACGAGTTTATAGTCACCGATGGTCTTTGTTATCCATTTTAAGGACTCGTTCACCATCTGATTCGGGAAATGCTACCCATATATCTTTTAACTCAGGAAATCGACCTTCCAAGTATGCACGATTATTTCGACGTTTATCTTCAATTATGACATCATCGTCGACAAAGTTGGACATTTCCAGACCTACAGAAACAACGTCTTTCACACCAGCCGATGAAACTGTCAGTCTTGAACGATTTCGTATTTGCTATCCGCCTTTAATATTAAAAGATTATGTTTTGGAAGATATAAGTGATGATAGTATTCCTTCAACTATATTGAAATTTCCTTTTTCCACAGAAAAAGCTCGTGAGTTTTTTATTTTTGTAGTTTGTTTCTTGTTTTGCTATACTCTGTAACTGCTAACAGCATAATGTTGAATAAAAAGGACTAGAATCAAATCGACTAATAGGTAGTCAATCATTCTAACTATGTAATCTAAATTCATAATTTGTAATCATAATATTCTGAATAGAAAGATACTTATTTACTTCATTTTAAATCACCTGAAACTACTATTTACCATCAGATCAGTGGTGTAATTCTTATGGATTTAATCAAGCTGTTTTTACTTAACAAATTCACGTTTTTTGGATAATAACAATGTATTCAGTAAGCAACAAATTGATGTTGAATATTTCAGGAAATGAAGAACTTTTTATGTTGGCTGCAAATGTTCAGTTCGTCTGAAATATTTCTGTAGTTATTTTGAATTGAACATGTATACTATTCTGTACGATAAATCCACGAAATTGTCATAAATTCCTTATTTGAAAAAAACTTGATATATAGTAATATTATCCCCTTTAAAATATTTTTGATTTTTGGCAATATATTTGCCCCATTTTCGTTTCCATTGTTTAAAAGACACACAGAAGTTAGGCTGTTCAATCTCATAATTCTTTCACGTTGTATTAGAATCGCGTGTACTGACGAAATTCTCAATGTCAGTTCGTTAATAATCAGGCTTATTAGAAGGAATAACAGATTGTACATGTTCAGTATTCTCATCAACATGGTTGGTCGACAGCTGTTTTGACTGTAAGTCATTTCTAAGCTCTTTAGATCCCTTACAAAAATGCTTGGTCCAAATAAAAGGAGCGTCGTACTTCAATGATTTTATCCTTGTGAATAGCCGCAACATTTCATAAATTTCTTGTCACTTAAGTTTCACCGAAATGCGCAGTAACATAGCTCGTGTACTTATTAGACAGTTCGCTAATACTAATGAATATATATTTAAACAGTATTTGTTAAACCGTCTAATTTCTTCCTGACCAAATATCTTAGAAACCAATAAAGTATACTATTTTTCCTCATATTTTCGTAGCTTGTAGTTTACCATGATACATACTTGATATCGTTGATGGTTGTTCCACTTACGCTAATTTTTTTCGATGGCGTCACTCAATATTCATGTATATGGATTAGTAGTTAGATTGTAAAAAAACCCAGCTTATTTACTATTACATTTCTGAACATTCAAGAGTTTTCTCCCAAAGGAAATTAATATACCTATCGGTCTACTTCAGAGCAACTTATTATCTATACCTTTAGCTGATAATTAAACTTTTGGTCTAGTTCGTGATAACTGTTTAGTGTTCATTTAAGTTTTTTCCATAGTTTTTGTTTATAATAACTTAATGGTTATACAATATATATGTATATATATAATATTTTTTTTCAGATCAAAATTTATTCAAACTCTCTCCTTATGAACATAGTGTAAAACGAAAATCTGGAAGAACTTCAACCAAACAATCCGATTTATTACATTCACACGAAAAGGTTATATCAAGAACATCTCGTGAAACAACATGGTTTTCTTCGTCATCGTTGATTAGTAGTAGGACTTCATCGTTGTTACGAAAATCTCGAAAAACAATATCTAGAGAGTTTCTGTTTAAAGCATCTAGTCTGCAGGATAAAAAATTTTGGATAACTACACTGACACCACTTGTTCACAGTTATTATCAAAGGGAATCATGCAATGACTTGGTTTTAGTTTAATTTCAAAGAGACGATAATTGTTTGACTGGTTATTGATTTTTTCTTTTTCTTTTAGTATTTAGTATCCTCATTTTATCATCGTCATTTTAGAGACTGAGTATAGTGTTCGTGAAATGTTATTTCCATTTATATTTTTATTTTCTATTTTTGTGCAATCGGTCCTCTCTCGCACTCACCTACACTTTATTCCTTTCAAAAATGAAACATAATACTGATTCATTTTATCTTCAGTGGTTTTCTTCTTAGCAGTGTGTATGCACAGTCTTTATGTTGAAAATACGAAATACAATCAGTGTTTATCTTTCGCTCAAAAAAAAACTAATTAATATGTTAATCATATCATATCATTTCTCTTGTAGTCTTTCATATTCTTAAATGCAGGTAAGATTTCACTTTATCTATTTGTCAATTTTGATAATTGAATATTTTCTAATACAACACTATAGTTATTGTTATTATTCGTAATAATAATCAGAATAATATACAGCTTATTTTCTACTTCACTCATTTTCCTAATTATCCTCAGTTTGTTGATAAAAGATATGGTGATGGCGATGAAATGGAAGATATAAGTTGTCCTCTATGTGTTCAGTGTGTGTTTACGTCTGTATGTACCTACTATATATGTTACCACTAGATAATGTTAAAAAGGGGCAAGCACAGTACTATTAAGTGAGGTACTGAAAGAATCCAAACAAAATTATATAATTGTATTCTAAACAGTTCATATGTCATTTTGTTGATACCATTTTTTGTAGACAGTTCATCCTTAAGTTTTAGAATTTTATAACTGTTGTAATCCTTTGTGAAAATACGAGGTTGATTTAATGAGTTACCAAATTTACAAATGAACAACAGTTCTTTCTTCAAACGAAGGATATATAAATCAATGTGTGCTAGAAAATCACGCACTTCTGGTGATAATAGGCTTTTTACAGACTACTTAATCTGTGCATTCATTTATAACGCGTGTTTTATACAGTAGATCCAATAAATTATTACGAAAAATGGAATGAATATGTTGTTCGAGATATAGAAGAGGTAAAGTCAAATAAATTAACAAGAATAGTACTTATTAAAAAGATTTATTTCACTTAAGAATGTAAATGAATTGGATTTTATTCAGTCGAAAAATGTCATTTCCTCATTATGATGACAGAATTATCTTCTCCAATCCTAAACAGGCATTGTTGAATTTTTGCATTGATTGCACCATATTTTAACTAAACGTCGAACACAAACACCATCAAGTGTACGAGTTTGTGCTATTTTTTAGTGCTTAGTTGTAGCAGATAGTTTGAAATTAGTTTGTGACAGAAATTAGACCAATTGTGAGAATTAAACACTTCAAGTACTCACATTTGTCAGTCAGTTCATTTGAGCAAGTACATGAAAATATATATATTCGGAACGAGTGATGGGAAATATGTTTGAATGAGAAAATCAGTGAGGTGAGCGCTGGTTGAATAAACATTACTTTCAAATCTCTTGCATGAATGCTGGAACTTTGGTGTATTGTTGCATACCATTTTTACTCACTATGTCAATATGATCTGTTTATTTGTTAGTGACACATCTGTTATATTGTGGATGCTATGTTTCTAAATACATCATATGGAAAATAAAGTCTTAGTTTTTCATATAGTGATTTTCACTAAGTTTCGTTGTATTATTCAGAGTAAACCCTATTCATTAACATTTTAGTGTACTTAAATTGTCATTGGTTATTTCATTTTCAGTGCATTTCCCGTGTATTGATTACCTCACTATAGTTTTGTGTCCAGCGTTAACTATTTCATCAATAATGCTCAGTAATCAAAGATTAATGAATTGATACATAACTGAATTAAATTGGTTGTAAATCTTAATCTACCGTGATCTCTTCTAATAAATCTTAATATTATTTGTCTTTTTGAGTGGCTAGAACATGAAAAATGTTGTGTACGGTATAGCAGTTGTCGTTAGAGCTATCGCAGCATATCTCACTCCGTAGCCGTATATTTAATGTATCAATGTTTTAACAAGGAACTAGCATTTAGAAATCAATAGTTTCGTTTCAAGTTTGCAGTTTATTGTAATACAGTTTTCCCTTTTGCTATCTGCCTACATATTAACATATTTCCATTACGTTTAGTTGTGTACTATCGAATAGACATCAAAAAGCTATGTGACATCTTTAAGTCCATAAGTATATCAGTAGCTAGAAGAATTAAAACAAGACATTAATTATTCACTAGTAATCACTTAATATTTAAAATAATGTACGACTTAAAGAAGCACAGAAAAGAATAAGATTTTGTGTTGCTTTTAAATTGCAAACAAAACAAGGTTCATAAAGTCGAAAATGTACAATAAAATTAAATAGTTTTAAACCTAAATGTTAATGAAATTTGTCTATTTCTTACTCTACTGTCAAATTAAATTTGCGAAAAAATTCTTCCTGATGTAACCATTTTGGCTGATTATTTTGCCATTGTATTTTATTTTAAAAATAAAACCCTACATTTAATAGTAATGTGTTAACATATAACATCTTCAAATTGAGTAATACATGCCTTTTTTGCCTTTGTGAAATATCACAATAATGATAGACTTATAACTGTAAAGCCTGATGATGAAGTTATTGAAAAACAATTGTTCGTTCAAATATTCTTCATTTTTTGAATAATGTGTTAATATAAACCTGTGAACTAATTTAATTAATTAACTAAGTAATAGATAATAATTATGAATTTATCATTGTTACTACTTTTAACTATTCAATTTTTATTATTTTCTATCTTATTGTTTTGTTTTCTTTGTTAATTTGTGTTAATCGCTTTAATAAATTAGATTGTGAAAATAAATATTAACAACTATTAATTATTATTTACAATTTCATGAATTTATTATCATAAATTATTACTACTATGATTATAATTATTCATATTATTATCAGAATGGGTTTTGTGGAGATTTTTAGAAATTTCACTTGTTGAAATCATGAGTCAATTGAAGCTAGACCACCATGGAAAACCTGGAAGCACTGGGCGGCCGTTTCGTCCCAGTATGGGACTCCTCAGCAGTGCGCATCCACGACCCCGCACCTCGCGGGATTCGAACCCATAACCTACTGGTTCAGCGTGCGAGCACTTAACCATTAGACCATTGAGTTAGACATTAACACTGTTGGATGCTGAGGAGTCCCATACTGGGACGAAACGGCCATCCAGTGCTTCCAGGTTTTCCATGGTGGTCTAGCTTCAATCGACTCATGATTTCAACTTATGAAATTATTCATATTATTGAATTCTGTAATTCTATACGTGTATGTACATGTTTCATGACTTACGTATTTATGTAAGTATATATTAATGTAGGATTATATAATGGTTAGGTTAATCCCAATATTGTTGTTGGGAGAATCATATTTATTTATTGTTTTCTTTTTTTCCCCATTGTATTTTCATATCTAGGGTGTGATTACCACCTCTGATTAAACGCTGGTCAAGAAATATCACCAATTGTTATTACAGAAATGTTATATTTATATTCATGTATATGTATATTCATTTCAGTGATGCATACAATAAGAGAGTTCAAATTACAAGATAATTTGACTTTCATTTATTATTCTTTTTGTTTAGAAGTATTAATGGATAAATATCACGTTTATTTATTGTCGAGATTTCAATGTAATCCAATATTTTTTTGGGAAATCGTTCTCGTATATTACATTCCGTAGGCAATGGTTACGTCAATAGGCAGATAGAGTTGGGGCTACGTAGATATCAAGAAAATAAATGAACTAATGGTTCACATCATCGATTGGTATTAACTAGAGAAACAGTGAACTCCGCCTGGAGTCCCTCCGGGGGCTACTGCCGGTCCCAAGCCCGGATAAAGGAGGAGGGTTGGGCATGGGGTTAGCGTCCCCATCCCGTAGAAAACTAACTCGCTAAAAAAACGCTAACCAGAAAAAATTATTCAAACCTTTTAAACTCTGCCCTGGGAGTCAGAAGGTCTTCATTTAGAAGAATTATGACGCCTCATGATGAAAGCCGAATTCCTTCGGAAGTTACGAGGCCGATGCCCCTTCTGACAACCAGAGCAACCATTTATTTAGGTACATGGAATGTTCGTACAATGTGGGACACCGGAAGAGCCTTCCAAATTGCTGCAGAAATGAGAAGATACAACCTAGAGGTACTTGGGATCAGTGAAACACATTGGACACAAGTTGGACAACAACGACTAACTACAGGAGAGCTCCTGTTATACTCCGGCCATGAAGAAGAAAATGCACCACATACACAAGGAGTTGCATTGATGCTGTCCAAACAAGCGCAAAATGCACTTATAGGATGGGAATCTCATGGACCAAGGATCATCAAAGCCTCCTTCAAAACAAAGAAAGAGGGCATTTCAATGAACATCATCCAATGCTATGCGCCTACCAACGACTACAATGAAGACGCTAAAGATCAATTCTACAATAGGCTGCAGTCAATCGTCGAGAAGTGCCCAACAAAGGACCTGACCATTCTGATGGGAGATTTCAACGCCAAGGTTGGAACGGACAACACTGGATATGAAGACATCATGGGACGACACGGACTGGGAGAAAGAAGCGAAAATGGTGAGAGATTTGCAAATCTATGTGCCTTCAATAAGCTGGTCATAGGCGGCACCGTATTCCCACATAAACGCATACACAAAACCACATGGACTTCACCGGATCACTCTACACAAAACCAAATCGACCATATTTGCATCAACAAAACGTTCAGGAGGACTATAGAGGACGTGAGAACCAAGAGAGGAGCTGATATAGCATCAGATCATCACTTACTGGTCGCCAAGATGAAATTGAAACTCAAGAAGCACTGGACAACGGGGCAGACAGTATCACAAAAGTTCAATACGGCCTTTCTTCAGGATACTAACAAACTCAACAAATTCAAGATAGTCCTCAGCAACAAGTTCCAGGCCTTTCATGATCTACTCAATGGAGAAGGAAC